TAGGGGTTCAGTAGAGACTGGGCTTCTGCGAGCCAGGATCACCTTGTAAAGGTGAGAGGGACTGCCACGTTGTCCTCACTGATCTCCTGATAACTGTTTTCTTTCCATCACTTTTTAGTCTCTGGCAAAGTCAAAGGTCTAGACACTACCCAAACTTCTTCAAACCTCTCTGTCAGTTCTCGACAGTACATTTCCATTCTGTTCCAGTATCCAGACTTATTATCAAAATTCTGAGGCACAATATTAGAAAGATAAAAGGTTTCAGCCATGGCTTTACTTGAAAACTTGTTATTTCTGGCTGGAGCCATGTGCCCTCATGACCACCCACTTTTGATGTAGTCCTGGTTGAAGGCAGAAATGCCATTTGTAGAATTCTGGAAAGGATTGCAAAGCCGAGTAATCAATTGGTTTGGGGCTGAGAGACAACAGCTTCATAATTGCCCTGCTTGCTCTGGGTGGCCACTGCACAGTGGCCAAGGGCTTTGGATGCCAAGCAGATCTGATGCTTTAGGTCCATATGTACAGGATTGTGGACACTAAAAGAAGCAAGAAATCAGAGTGGAACCTTCTAATCCTGCCCTTGTAAAAAGTTAGAATTTGGGGCCAGCAGATGGCATGGATATTAAGACACTGGATCTCACATGGCAGACTCCACTGTTCAAATCTCAGACCCAGGGGCTTGAAAATCATGCTAAGTGTGTGTGCATGAGTGCCCAAAATCCTGAGAGAAAAACAGAGAAGAAGGGATTGTGGCATGGCCATACTCCCGGAGGGTGACTTCTCACTTTCCCTTTCTCTCTCTCTCTCTCTCTGTCTAGCAAGTACATGTGCCCCCTATAGGAAGTAGATTCTTGGCTGAGTGTTGCGTCAAAGCCTGTTTGTTATGTTAATCATTTTAGTAAAGTGAGTGAATGTCATTACGTGTAACTGTTTTTAAAAAGACTTTTGGTTTAACATTCCCTAGAAAGAGAAGAAAATTAATAGTGTTATATTTTATTGGCAGTGGAGACTGTGTCATTTCAGCGAAGGACCTCACCAAGGCAGTATCACTGCCTGGTGGGAGATGACCCTAAAACGTGCAAGGGGCACAATGACCAAGAGGGATTGGTCACCTAAGTATGGAACAATCACTAAAATGACACACTCACACATTGTTTTTCTTAGACAGGGGAATCTTGCAATCAGAAGATACTTCTGTTCAGAATTGTAGATAAGAAATTGACAGTAGCAGAGGGTTCAGGCACTATTTGTAATATGAGCCTAGATGCTAAATGCCTTTCCCTGGGTTTGTTTATATAACAGAATCTAGACCAGCAGGTGACATGGAGGTTAAGATGGTTGAATTCTACAAAGCCGGCTGCAGGATTCAAGTCCTGGAGCCAGAATCTTGAAAAACACACTGGATGTGTGTGTGTGTGTGTGTATATGTGTGTGTGTGTGTGTGTGTGTGTGTGTGTGTGAGTGTGTGTATGCTGGAAACACTGGGAGGAAAATGAAGAAGGGGTTGTGTGTGTGTGTGTGAGTGTGTGTATGCTGGAAACCCTGGGAGGAAAATGAAGAAGGGGTTGTAGTGTGGTCATCCCACCTGGGGGCTGCTTTATCACTTTCTCTCCCTCTCCCCCCCATCTCTGGAGAGTGCACATGAATAATGGCAAAAAAAAAAAAAAAAAAAAGAAAGAAAGAAAGAAAAGAAAAGAATAAAAAGTTGTTATATGTGACTTAATCTGAAGTTTCTGAGTCCCCAAGTTAAAATTGAATCCTCAGGGACAGCAGGTGGCATGGTGGTTAGGGCACTGGACTCCCATTTGGCTGACTGAAGTTCAACTCCCAGACCTGGTGGCTTCTTTCTCATTCTTTTTCTCTCTCTCTCTGGTGAGTCTCTCTCTCTCTCTTTAGTGAGCACATGTGCCCTATAGCAAATAAAAATAACTACATAAATAAATAAAGAATCCTTAGGGGAGGTTCCAGATTTCTAACAAGGCCAACTCCTGTCATGATTTTCCTACTATTAATCACCCTTTCCCCTATTATTCAGCCTCAGATCACAATCTCAACTGACTTCTTCTGGCAAACTGTGCTCTGTAATGCCTTTCTTCCCTACTACCCGATACGAAGCTACCCCTCCCCAAGAAGATCTCGAAACACTGACCTTGAAGAAATATTTCTTAACTTTCTGGTTTTCTGTGTTCATGCATAACTACATCTCAGAAACACATGGAAAGAATAAGACATTTTGTTTGATTATATAGCAAGATATCTCAGGAAATTAGTTTAGTGTAAATACTAAATGACTCTTAATCTTGATTCAGGAAATGCATTTCATGATTAGCTGTGTTATGGTGGGGCCATCCTGACATTCTTTGTGTAAAATTATACAGCCCTCAATGTCAAATAACTTACTCCTCAGTCCAATTTGTGATTCAAAAATAAATAAATAAATATATCCAATGATTTTAGAAAGGAAAGAAGTTAAATGCAAAAAAAAAAAAAAAAAAAAAAAAAAGGTTTGGCTTGAAATTCTTTGCCAAGAGAGAAGATTTTAGGAATACTTTCAAAAGACCAAAGGTACTGAGTAATATTAGAAGAGAAGAAAGAAACCCATGGTCTTTTGGACCATAGATAAACTCTTTAAATGATGTATTCCTAGTGTTTAAACATTTTATCTCTTACTGTTGATTACTTGTATAACCAAAGCCATTTGTGCTATTAACTCACTAGGAATGAAAATAGTGTTTTCAATTATTTATTTAATTGTTTTTGTTTTTTTGTTATTTTATTTTTTTTTTTAGAGAGATTTTTGCTATAGGGTGCATGCTCTCATTAGAGACAGACAGAGACAAAGAGACAGAAAGCAAGAAATCACTCCCCAAGGGGAATGGCCATGCCACAATCCCTTCTCCATTCTCTTCTTGAGATCTTGGTCACACAGACACATGCACCCAGCATGAGTATTAAGCCGTCAAGTCCAGGACACGAACCACAGTTGACTACATGGGAGACCCTTTGTGGGTAAGCCATAGGTTTCCATGGAGAGAGAAAGTTGATTCATTTTGTGTCCATTAAAACTGAAATGGTTCTGTCATTTACAGAAGTATTGTATTAGAGAGCCACATCTCAGTGACTGGAATATAAGCCCAGTGGGTGACAGAATTGGCCCATCTCTTCCATTTGTTGAGGAAAACATGAAACTGGAAGTTGGAAAGCATCCATGGTATGAACAGGAGTTGGCAGGAACTCCACAGGCAGGAGCTGAGAGGCAGGTGAGCCAGGTAAGGAGCCAGGAGCTGTGGCCAGTTTCCTGGGACCACAACGGCAGGAGTTACAGAAGGGCCTCTGACTTCTCTTTTGGACTCTGGTCTGTTTGAAAGCTGTTTGTATTTTTCTGAAATTATTTCCTTATTTCTCATCTGTAGATTAACTCTGCTAGTGCAGGAGCCTTGGGGCTGAGTTTTCAAAGGAGTCTGGTGGGGCAGGGCTGGGATGAGGGCTGTGAGAGAGTTTTGGGGAAGACTCTGCACCTTCAGTCACCCCTCCCCACCTGGAGATTGTCTTGCTAGAATTAGTCTCTGCCAAAACTTCATGTTGTGTTTTGTTTGGATGAAGAAGTCTCTTCCTTTATAATTCTCTTCAACAAGAAAATACCCTCAGGAGAAACTTCCACTTCCGTCCATGAGAGAGTACTTACCAAAATTACTCTCCCTCTGTCAAAACCAGAAAATTGCTCAGAATTCTTGAAACATATCTTTTCAGACATTTGGTCTGAATAATCAGTCAGGTATTTGGATAACAAGTATAAGACTGTGATCCCTGAGAAAAAGGGAAAGGTCAGGGGAGCCCTACTTTGTCCTAGGCTATCCAACTGTGGCTTAGGGAAGGGACCCCAGGGTCAGAAATATCTCTGAGGTTGCCAGACACATGTGCATGCATGCCCAAAGTCCTGAGAGGAAATTGGAGAGGAGATTGTAGCATGGCCATCCACGTTGGGGGGGCGATTTCTCGCTTTCTGTCTCTCTGTCTTTCTCTGCCTCTATAACGAGCACACATGCCCTATAGCAAAAACCTCTCTACAAAAATGATGAGTCCGGTCTCCACACAAAACGAGCACACATGCCCTAGAGCAAAAACCTCTCTACAAAAATGACGAGTCCAGTCTCCACACAAAACTGACACCTAACTGTGGACCATCTTCTTCCATGTAAATGGAACTCCAGAGGGCAGCACATACCCAAGTCAGAACTCAGAGATTTGAGGAAATATGGGTTCTTTTCTTTATTTAATACAAAAGTAATTTTCTTAAATGAGCCTGGAGATTATTGTTCTGCTGCTTGGCACCTATTATGGTTTAAATGAACCCCCCCACCCCCTCACACACACACCACAAAAATTCACACATTGAAATTTGGTGAGGCACTGAATGGTGAGAGGGCGGAGACTTAATCTGATTATGGTGTTGAAAGGTGGGGCCTTTGGGAAGTAATTAGGCAATAGGGTGGAACCCCCATGATGAGGTTCTGGTGGGTTTATAAGAAGAGGAAATGAGACAGACAGAGATGCTGCTCTGCTCAAACTCTTGCCTGTCGACATGCGGAGCCCTTCACCATGTTATCTACCACCAAGGAAACTCTCACCAGCTGTAGACTCTGAGGCGTGGACCTTCAAACTGAGAGCTGAATAACCCTGTATTTTCTTAAATTATTCAGACTCAGTATTTCTGTTACTAGCAACAGGATGGACTAGAATAGGACCCATGTCTTTTGATGATCAAATATGGCTTGAGACATCTTGTTCTATCACATTCTTGGTCTAAACTGTGTTGATTATGCTCTGGAGAATTAATGTAACTTTCATAACCTGCCCATACTCCCAATCCCCAATGAAGAATGAGCAGATCATCCAATTTCCCAGCCCTCCTCACACTCACTGGGTTTTCATGACAAAAACAAAACAGAATGACACAAAAAAACTAAAAGCTCATTAGTGACAAACTTTTTGTTTATTGAAATTATTTCTTACAAAAGGTCTCATATATTTTAGGCCAGGCTTAATTTCCTTTAGTCCCTGAAATACAGGTCCATGGTCAATTCCATGTCCTCATAAGTAGGTATGTAAACTAGTAGACTTTTATGTTTAATGTCCAAACACTAAACTTTTTTTAACTGTAAAATAAGACTTGTGTTTTTCCAGATGAAAAGACCAAGTAAGAAAGTTGTGTTTGTCTTTATCGGCGAGGTAACTGGATTCTTTGCCAGAACCGGGTTAGGAATTTATTTTGTCCGATGTGATATCTTTCTGCCTGTAGCAATTTTTAAATGCAAACGTTGCAATGTGCTGAGCTATGTAGTAAAGAGTGCTATGTTTATATATGCATACATATATTGGCTCTGGAAAAACGATGCACGGGTACATGTCATGTAAACATAGCATTTGGTCAAAAGGAGAGTCTCTGATCATTAGTCCATTAATGTGTAACAAGCATATTGCAAGCAAAGAATGAATGATCAAGAGCACATATTGGCTTAGTTGTCAGCCAGGAGCTCTACTCATCCTGCACTGGGAGGAGCCCAGGTCTCACTTTCCCCAGGCAGGCCAAGTCTCACCCCAATTTGACAGGGACTGTGTGTCTGAGCCCTGACTGTGACTTAGTGATTCCTACAATGTGAGGTGGGCCTGTGCTCACTTGCTACCATGTAGCTCCCCTAGCTCTAGGACATGTAGATGACCCAGGTTGACCTACTCATAGAAAAAGCAAAATGTGATCTCCCCGTCACAAGGAAGAGGTACAGGTGGCAGACTTGCTGAGACCCATAAGCACTTACTACTCCCACAGGTTGTAGAATATACTCACTTCCTTCCACTCCTGTCGATTCCATCAGGATTGTGTTTTTCTGACTGCAGAGTCACACCTGAAGAGGCTTGGAAGGTGCAGTATCATCACCTCCAAACAGCTCTGAGGCACAGGCTACCTGGCTTTATCCCTGATTGCTTGATGACTGATTGTTGGACTCAGGTCAACACAGACAAGCCCCTGTGTGACCCCCTCAAGTCAGCTCCCCTTCGTGAATGGATGCACTCACATGCCACAGGTTTTGGACTATGTGACTTTCACACATGCCTCATGCTCAAGTTTCTTGCTCAGGCCCAGCAAAGACACACTAAGGTTCAGGTGGGAACATGGGCTCCATCATTTTGTCTTTAATTTATAGGCCAGGTGAAAGGGCTGACTGACTGTTACCCGGGGTAGAGTCAGACTAACATGCCTTGTGCCACTGTACCAAAATGGATAAATGAATTTAGCACCCAAGATATGATTTAGCACACTGTGGTAGTTGTTCTATGTTAGATTCATTCCCCACCAAATGGAGTTGCAGTCCTGAAGGTAACTTGCATTTCCCTCTCACTCCTGCAGCTGGCATCTCCTTTGCATCACTTCCTCAAATTAACACACGGTTTGCAGAGGCAGAGTAAAGAGAGGAAAATGAATCAGACAGTATTGCTGCTTGCTAGGGAGGAGGATGTTGATACCCTTGGCCTAACTGTGGTTTGGAGATTATCCAAAGAGTAAATGATCATTATACCTCTCTTCTCCACCGCTGGTTTTGTCTGGCATATTCTCAGCATTCCCCTGTAACTAACAGACTGAAGGGAACATGGACTTTGAGGCCTGGCACATGACATTCCGAAGACTGCACAACTGGCGATCTGGTCAACCAGGCTCCTCACATAGGCACTCTGGTACAAGGTAGAGATACACAGTAGATCCCAGACACAATCTTTGGAGCAGATGTCCAAGAGGAGAATGATGACAGGCCACCATGGTCCTGGGATGGGGTATCGAGGTTGGGGAGTGCTGGACTGCGCAGGGCAGAGGCATGGTCAGGGTAGCCCCAAGCATTGTACCCACCCAGGAATGCAGGACAGAGGCTCAGCAGCACAGCCTCAACCTTGGGCTGTGCCCCCTTTCAGTGTCTGTTACATGTCACCCCAGCATCCTCTGCATGTCCGCAGTTTGTCAACCCCCATTTGGAGAAGCTGCAGCGGAAGATGGTGTCCTCTGTGCCCTTGCAGGCGACGTCATCCATCCAAATCCTCCCTGTGCCTGGGGAGACAGATCGACATGATTTCTTAGCAGATTTGCGGGAGAGCAGGGAGAAGAAGAAAGGAGAGCTGTGTCTGCCCTTGACCAGGCTGTCCTTGGCTCTTTAGCACTCCTCAAATCTGAAGGGTTCCATTGGCCTTTCTCATCCCACCAGGGCCTCGTACTTATTTTCTGAGCTCAGTTTCTTGAGGGCAGAGTCATAATAATTGATGTGGGTGATGGCACTATTCTATCTTTTATGTGCCAGGCATCTTACACACATGAGTTTCCTCAGAACTCCCCAGGTATTAATAAACTCATTTTATAGATGGGAAAACTAGGCTCAGAGCAATTGGTACAAGTTTACTCAGCTTGTAAGTGGCAGAGTCTGAACTCAAACCCAAGTCTTGCTGCCTCCCAGGTCCAGACTTCAGAAGAAACACCATATAAATTTTAAGATACAAAGAAACACTATATAAATTTTAAGATACAATATCTTGCAGACTTTTTTCCTAAATAATGGGTTGTCAGAAAAGTCATGATGTATTTTTCTATGCAAAAATGTGTCATGCCTTCCAACAGACAACCCAATAGTTAGGCACAGTGTAATCAGGGAGTAATGTTAGACAGATCCTAGATTGTCTCAGCACTCCAGAGGCAAGGATGTTAGTACTGACATCCCTGCAATCTTGTGAGGTTGAAGGCAGAAGGTCCCCTTCTATGAGCTCAAGACAATGGTTCTGGAATGCTAAGGGATCCGGAATTTAACATTATAGCCAGATGGATATTTAAGGATACACAGGATCCCTTAGTGATAAGCTATAAGTAATTAGGTCAGTTCTCCAAATACCAAGCATTGTACCCACCCAGGAATGCAGGACAGAGGCTCAGCAGCACAGCCTCAACCTTGGGCTGTGCCCCCTTTCAGTGTCTGTTACATGTCACCCCAGCATCCTCTGCATGTCCGCAGTTTGTCAACCCCCATTTGGAGAAGCTGCAGCGGAAGATGGTGTCCTCTGTGCCCTTGCAGGCGACGTCATCCATCCAAATCCTCCCTGTGCCTGGGGAGACAGATCGACATGATTTCTTAGCAGATTTGCGGGAGAGCAGGGAGAAGAAGAAAGGAGAGCTGTGTCTGCCCTTGACCAGGCTGTCCTTGGCTCTTTAGCACTCCTCAAATCTGAAGGGTTCCATTGGCCTTTCTCATCCCACCAGGGCCTCGTACTTATTTTCTGAGCTCAGTTTCTTGAGGGCAGAGTCATAATAATTGATGTGGGTGATGGCACTATTCTATCTTTTATGTGCCAGGCATCTTACACACATGAGTTTCCTCAGAACTCCCCAGGTATTAATAAACTCATTTTATAGATGGGAAAACTAGGCTCAGAGCAATTGGTACAAGTTTACTCAGCTTGTAAGTGGCAGAGTCTGAACTCAAACCCAAGTCTTGCTGCCTCCCAGGTCCAGACTTCAGAAGAAACACCATATAAATTTTAAGATACAAAGAAACACTATATAAATTTTAAGATACAATATCTTGCAGACTTTTTTCCTAAATAATGGGTTGTCAGAAAAGTCATGATGTATTTTTCTATGCAAAAATGTGTCATGCCTTCCAACAGACAACCCAATAGTTAGGCACAGTGTAATCAGGGAGTAATGTTAGACAGATCCTAGATTGTCTCAGCACTCCAGAGGCAAGGATGTTAGTACTGACATCCCTGCAATCTTGTGAGGTTGAAGGCAGAAGGTCCCCTTCTATGAGCTCAAGACAATGGTTCTGGAATGCTAAGGGATCCGGAATTTAACATTATAGCCAGATGGATATTTAAGGATACACAGGATCCCTTAGTGATAAGCTATAAGTAATTAGGTCAGTTCTCCAAATACCATGTCTCTATTACAATCTATTTGACAGTTTTCGCTGCAGCCAGTCCTGGTCAGCCAGCTCTTCAGGGACTAACCTGTTGGTCCAACATGCCCACACAGGGGACTATGAGGCTTTGTTGGCTCTCCCAGGATTGTACGTTAGCCCTAGTAAAGGCATAAACTTGTCCCTGAGGTCTCTCAGTGAATGCCTGGGAAATAGCACTGCAGGGCAAGCTTCTGAGAGTGAACAGAGAGAGTTTGCCTAGGGTCACAGTGAGTGTAGAAGGGGGAGCAGAAGCCACTTAGAGTCCCTACTGATGAACTAGGCTGATGGCTGTGCCTGGCCCCGGATGGTGGGAGTTAATTTGGGAACCTCTGGAAAGATGACTGAGCCTCAAGGCTTCCTAGAAGCAGTGACTGACAGCCTTATCAGTCAAAGTGAGGGACTGGACCTGCAGCATGGGCCTTACTGGGAAGCTCTACAGAAATGTCTGCATTTCAGTTTTGCCCAGTCCCTACTGTGCCAGAATCTACATTTCAACAAAGTAGCTCACAGAGAGGTAGTTTGTACAGAGACAGAGCAGAGTTTTGTAGTAAAACATGCCTGTATTCAAGTCTCAGCACCATCTGGGGTGACCATTTCAGTTTTCAAGCTAAGAAGGGCTTCTCTGCATGTGGGACTTTTAAAAACCACATAAATTCCAGGCAAATGAAGACAGTTACTCCAACACCCTCACTGGTTCGGTCAATGACCTAGCACCAAAAAGCATGGTATAAGGATCATAAGCCAGATTCCAACATTACTGGCTGTGTCACCCTGAGCCAGCCAATGAGGTAATAGTTCCTATATTGGAACAGCTTTGGAATGGACTAAAGCCTATGGGCTAACAGCTCAGGGATTAGTGCTGGACCCTGCTACCTGTGCTTTCTCCCCATCCTCTCTCTCAGCAGTCAGAGAAACTCTCTCCTGTAGCAGAACTGTAGGGACTATTAAAGTCTTAAACTCTGTCACTCACCCTTTGAATTGCATGAGTAAAATTCCTTTGCAAAAAATGTCAAGGGAACCCTGAAACCATTTCACTGCTGGCTGAATCTACTACAGGAACTAAGTGGCTTAGACGTGCTTTTGTTACGTAGGGATTTTCGGTATCTGTTGTCACAGGATTGCTGTGCAGCGATTTCAGGGACAGGGCAGGGCAGAGAGGCGCCCTTTCACTGTCTTCCTGGATGTTGTTTCCTCACCAGAGCCTCTTCTTGGCCCAGATAGCGATGGTTCTTACACAATAAGCCCTTTGAGGCACAGCAATAATTTGCAGATTAAACGTCTCCTGGAAAACACATCAGTTTACAAATTATCCAGGAAAAGGCCACAGGCCCAAGAGCTCTGAGGGATTAGTCACACCCAAAGCAAATAAAGAAGCAAATAAAGGAGACTGACAAGTAAAGAACAGGCCTCAGGTTACCCAACCCCAATATGTATATAGGATCTCAAGACTCTGAACTCTAGCTGGTGTTTAGCCAGGGAGTTCTGCCTAATGGCCAGACGTGGAAGGACCAAGAAAATAGGAGCAGAGTCATTAAATGAACAGTGCTGAATGTGTCCAGTACTGACAACAGAGTGGGACATCACTGAAGGGGTGACTGGCCACAGACCAGCCCTGCTCCTTTCACCATGCCACGAAGGCTAACTCCCAGCACCAATTCCCTTTAGTTTTAGAACTGTCAGGGATCTTAAAAAAGTTGAAAAATGCGTATAACAACAAAGCAAAACAATGGATAGATTTCAAGAGATTTTGCACCAAAAAGAATTTCATACTTTAATTCAATTTTTTTTTCAGAGATTTTTGCTATAGGGCGTGTGCACTCACTGGAGAGACAGAGAGAGATAGACAGAAACCAAGAAATCACTCCTCAGGGAGTATGGCCACGCTGCAATCCCTTCTCCTCTGGTCTCCTCTCAGGACTTTGGGCATGCATGCACATGTGCCCAATGTGAATTTCAAACCATCAGGTCCAGGACTCGAACCACATGGAGTCCAGTGATGTAACCAAGTTTTCTGTGGACTTTTTGAAGTCTGCTTACATGATTACTCAAAGTATGGTCCAAGGGCCAGGAGGGTCGACATCGCCTGGAAGCCTGTTAGAAATGTGGAGTCTGGGCCTAAACATGGTGGCACAGGTGATGGGGTACCAATGCATAAGGCTAGGGTCACATGGGAGGCCCAGGTTCAGATCTCAGGCCTACATGAACAGGCCAGGCATGGTAACGTGCACCTGTAAACACGATAGTGTAGGAGGCTGGACAGAGGATCACAGACATGAAACCCTGATAAAATCCATCTCTGTCTCTTTCC